GCCCCTTCAGCCCCTCCCTGCTTTCCACGCGTCCCGCCCAGCGCCGGGTCGTGCGCCCCTCTGCGGCTCACCGGCTCCCCTGCCACGGCCCTGGCCTCGCCTTGTGCCGCTCGCCTTTTCCACCCTTCCTCATTATCACTCTCCGCCACAGCCTCTTCTGCTCCTTTTCTCACTCACTTCACTTGCTTATCTCACCAACTCGGCCTTTCCACCTCCGCTCTGTTTTCTCTTCCCTGACACCTCGGTTCCCCTTCTCCCTGGAGGGAGGCTCCTGGCTGCCCACACCCTCCTGGTCCAGCAGGCAGGCTTCACCCTTCAGTCCATAAGCTTCACTGAGCTCAGTCCCTCGCACCGTGCTGGCTGCTGGGGAAGCACAGACGGACGTGACCCAGAGCCCACCTCCGGGGACGCCACAGCCTTGTGGGATGAAGGTGATCATAGCTCTATGTATTGATCCCTTACTAAGTGCTAGGGACGGGGCAAGGCACTTTACCACCTTATCAACTACTGTTTCCAATGATAGCTAACACTTGGGTTCTCATTGTGTTCAAATCAGTTGTAAGCACATTGCATACATTACCTCATCTAATTCTCACAATAATGCTATAAGGTGGGTAGGAACTACTGTTCTCCCCACTTCACAGGTAAAGATACTGGGCCGGCCCGTGGCTCACTCGGGAGAGTGCGGCGCTGGTAGCGCCGAGGCCGCGGGTTCGGATCCTATATAGGGATGGCCGGTGCGCTCACTGGCTGAGCGTGGTGCGGACCACACCGTGCCGGGGGTTGCGATCCCCTTACCGGTCAGAAAAAAAAAAAAAAAAAAAGAAAAACCTGAGGTGAAGAGAGGTTCAGTATGGATCAGAGCCGGGATCGGAGCCCAGCTAGTTTGATTCCAGAATCAGAACTCAGAAACAGCCAAGAGGTCTGGATTCTGAGTCTGTGGGCCTAATGGCTACGGGGAGGATGTGGGAAGCTCAGAGAGATGAAGTAACCAGCCCTTGGCCACACAGCTCATACGTGAAGGAGCCAGGATTTGAATCCAGGTGTTTGATTCCAAAGGCCAGGGCTTAACCACTCTGCGGTAAATAAATTCCAATCCAGGTCAGGAACTGCTATGGGAGGAGGAAGGAATCGACATCCAGAGAAGCATCAGAGGAGGCGGCTTTCAGAAACTCCAGGCTCGGTGTCTTTCTCCCCTATCTGGGCCCTGCCGTCCACTGGCTTTCCTGTGAGAGGAACTTGGATGAGAGGCTTCAGGGGAGGGTATATGGGGGGACTCCTTGAGAGCCTAGACTGACACCTGACCTCCCAGCCTTTGATGGGGAGGAGAACGTGGGGAGCTGGGGGCAGGCTCTGCTGGGAAGCAGGAGTACTGGGGCATTTGCCCTCCTCTTTTCCTCCCCCTGCTCCCCCGCTCTCCCCGCCTCCATGTTTCCAGGACTCCTGTCTTCCCCTAGGTATGTCCTTACAGTGGTAGTGGAGAGAGGCGAGGGACCACTCCTTAATACTCATGAACACACACAGAGCACCTACTATGTGCAAGGTGGGGTGTGGATGGGGACACAGAGGTACAAAAGGCATGGCCCTGTTTCATCTGATCCAGTTGTGAGAAAAGGACACAAGGCAGGGCAGAGGAGGCAGAAGAAGATTCAGCAGACAGAGCCCCAGGGCTGGATAGGATGTATTCTGATGTCCAGGATGACCTAGTTGGGTCCAGGTAGAGCAAGTGAGGGCCTCTTCTTCCCCCTTCTCCCTCTTCCAACCCCCAGCATGAAGAGGTCCTGCAGATGACCACTCAGAAGGTGAAGGAAGGGTCTCTGCAGGACAGACAGTGTGGCGTAGTAATGCTGCGAGAGCCTGGACTCTGCAGACAGGAAGAGCCTGCTTCAAATCCCAGCTACTTCCTATCTGTGTGACCTTGGCCAAGTACCTGTACTTAGTGATTCTGACCTTCAATTTCCTTGTTTGTAAAGTGGAACTTCCTCAGCAGTTATTGTGAGGGGCAAATAAAATGAATGGACAGAAAGTCCCCTGCACAGTGCCAGCATGTAATGAATGCCTAGGAATGTTAGATCCCCAAGGGATGTGTGACTTTGGGGTAAAAATGTGATTCTGAATACCCCCTTGGACACCTTTATTGGTGCTCAGAGCAGCAGTTCTGCTTCCTGTGCTCTGGCTCCCCCCACCCCCTCCGGGCTTGGCAGGCTTCTGCACTCCAGGGGAGGTGTGGCCTTGGACACTGGCAGGGGTGTTGGAGCTCCCCAGGTGGTTTTGCAAGGTGCTGGCTCCTTGGACAGCTGGTAGGCTATGCTGTTCTTGGCGTCCTGGTGCCTGGCCTGGACAGAGCGGGGCTTTGTTCCTGCTGCTGGTTATGTAAGAACTGCACATAGCCTGAGAGCTGAGTGAGTCTGTACCTGACAGCTCCAAGGGCTCTAAAGGGAAGGGGGGCCAGGCTGGAAGCCCCCTGGAAGAGGAGAATGGACAATCTTTACCTGGCATCTCTATCTTGGGGACCCCCAAGGCTCCCTGATATGGGACCTTTGGTGAGAATGAGGAGGGAAGCCTTTCAAAGGAATTGAGCCTAGGCAAGGGCTGTGCCCTGGTGTAGTCATCAGAGAGCTCTCCCTCTGTGGCCAATTACCCTGGCCATGCACCCTGAGCTGGAGAGGCTCCTGTCTGATGTGGTGCTCCTTCCTGACAATGCTGAACCAGGGCCTAGGCAGCTGGGTAGAACACCTGGTGTACTGGGCTTCTGTCCATCTCGGAGCATCTGAAATCTGTCCAGGCAACACCTTCTCTCAGCTGACAGAGGAGACCATTTGTTCAGAAGAATGTATATTCATAGTTTGTTGTGAACAAAGTTCTATATAGATAACTCTTAGATAAAACTTGCTAATTATGTTACCAAAATTTTCTACTTTTCTGTAGTCTACTTCAGTGGTTCTCAAAGTGTGATCCCAGGGGATTCCCAACACCCTTTCAGGGAGTCTACAACGTCAAAATTGTACATAATTCAAAGGTCCATTTGAAGTGAAAGATAGACTAATGGATTTTAAGGTAATAGAATAAGAGAAGTTTATTGATGTGGTTTCAGATTCTACATTGCTATGAACATATAAGAAACTACCATATATCAATTTTTTGGGTAGTATCAAAGAAGAATATTCACAGTTATCTGATTTATCTGAAAAGGTTATTAAAATACTCTTTCCCTTTCCAACTACATTTCTGTATAAGGTGAAACCAAAACTACATATAGCAACAGATTGACTGCAGAAACAGATGTAAGAATCCAGTGTCTTCTATTAAGCAAGACATTAATGAGATTTACAAAAATGTAAGCCAATGCCACTTTTCTCACTAATTTTTTTGAAAAATATAATTATTTTTCATAAAAATTTATTTATGTTAACATATAATGATTTATTATTTTAAACAAGTGAATAGATAAATTTAAATTTTTTCTCATTTTAAATTTCAAATATTATGAATAATGATAGGTATAAACCCACACAACAGCTCTTTGGGGTTCTCAATTCTTAAGAGTGCCAGAGGTTCTGAGACCAAAATGTCTGAGAACCTACTTAATCTGCCTATGTCCGATAGAGGTATATAAAATCTACTGTGCTCATGAGTTAGCCAATTTTTCCTTTTTTTGCTTTATATATTTTGAAGCTATGTTATTAGGCACATAAAGCTTCATGATTATTATATCTTCTGGTTGGATTGTAACTTCTATCTGCGTGAAATATCCTTCTTTGTTCTTTCTAATGCTTTAGATCTTGGGAATAATAATTCCATGAACCAACACTTAACTAAAACCTGCTATGAAGTGGCGTAGACATGGAAGAGATTCGATCCTTGTCCACGTGGAGAACACAGAGGCATTGTAGTGTAGCAGGAAGAGTCTGAGCTTTGGAGTCAGACTGACCTGTGGTGAATTCTGACTACTTCCTGCCTATGTGTTCTTGGGTATTTGTCAGATTTTGAGCCTCAGTTTCTTCATCTGTAAAATAGGGCTAATAGCATCTATTTACTGGATGTTAGTGAAGACTTACTGAGAGATAATGGATGAGAGAAACACCAGCACAGTGCCCTGTGTAAAATAGTTCTGTGATTAGTGCTGTAGCAGAGCCATGAGCCAGGAGATCTGCCCCATTCATGCCTCCTGACAAGGCCCCAGGAGAGGCAGTGTGGGGCAGTGGGAAGTGCACCATACTTGGATTCAAAAGATCTGAGTTATGCATTTTCAATTTACTAGCAAGTCCCTCCCACACCCTGAGTCTCAGCTGCCTCATCTGTGAAGTGGGGAGCACCACTTTGCCCTGAATTCTCATGGGGTTATCTTGAGGATCAAGTGAGATAATGAAAGGGAAGGAACTTGGGATGATAATGGAGGTGAGGCTGAGGAAGGGATCGAGGTCCTGCCAGCACAGGCTGGGCTGTCTCCCAGGAGGTCTGGGATGCCTAAAGTGGTAAGACAAAATCTTGTCATTATTTCAGTCTCCTGGAATCGTCTGCCTTTTGTCATCTCACTGCTTCCCTGCTGGGACACTGTCTTCATAGCAGCTGCTGTTGAGTGCTCAGCAAAAAGCCAGGATGCGTGGTCTGTGTAATTAATAGAATTATTAGCGCTGGCAGGGACCTATGAACCCCAAGCATCACCTTCCCTGTCCCCCACAATTTTCTATAAGAGGAAACTAAAACTTGGCCTCCTGACTCTTCCTACTACGTTGCCAGCACTGCTTTATTTTCCAGCCTTTCAGCTTTGTCAATTGCAACGTCAACATCTGTCTCAGAGGTCCCCAGCTGTGCAGGGCCTCCATGCTGAGCAGCTTAGGTTCTGGTGGGCAGTTCAGGAAGGCCTGTTCAGGATCTCTGGGCATCCTGGTGGCAGTGGGGGCTGGTCATAGAGGGGCTTGAGCTGGGCTACTGGTCGCTGAATCAAAGGAACCTCAGTCCTCTCTTCTATCAGCCTGGGTACTGACAGGCTCTCTGGTTGTCCTGGATTTCATATGGCTCAGGGATAAAAGCAGAGATTAGGCTTGTCTTGGGCCTGGGGCTTGGTCCAGCTCTAAGTATGCCCACCTGAAGTGCAAAAGCAAGTGGGATAGGGGGTGGGCCCTGCTCAAATTCTCTAGATGGGGCTGTGGGTGGAGAGAAGGCTGAGTAGTGCTCTTCTTATCTCCCTGGGTTCCCAGCACACGTGGGGGTCCCTAGGCTGTGGCTAGTAGGCACCCCTGCCTAGAAACACATCAGAGAGGCAGTCAGATGTTTGTTTACCAGCGTGAACTCTGCAGCCAGACTGGGCTCTAGTTTTGGCAATGCCACTTGACCTTAGGCGAGTTACTTAGCCTCTCTCTGCTTCAGTTTTCTCATTTGTGAAATGGGGATATTAATAACAATAATCCCTCACGGGATTCTTGAGAAGGTTAGAGT